ACAAAAGAAACCCAGGCAATGAATTTTATATTGTCAAAATATTCCTGGACAGTGGCATGCCCTGGAATGTGGTCACTATATCCAGTGACACCTTTGGCAAAAATAGACTTCCAGCAAATATCATTATCTAATAACTTCTTAGTTAGGAATGGGACCCTTGTCCACTTCAACCCCTCAGTGTTGAGACTCTGAATGCCTTCAACCCACACATGCCTTGTGTGAGCTGTCACAGTCTATGTGACTTCAAATGTGCATCAGTTTCGTTGCATCTGGAAGACACCTTTTCCTAGGAGTCATTCACTACTTCTGTCTCTTGCAATCTTTCTGAGTCTTCTTCCACATAGATCCCTGAACCTTGGGTGGAAGGGTTTGGTGAGAGCATACTATTCAGGCTGAGTGCTTCAAAGACTCTCTTTGTCTGTATATTGTACAAATATAACTCTCTGCACTGACTCACATATACTGCAGGAAGAAGTTTCTCCAATGAGGTTTGATCAAGGCACTGATCATCAGGAATACCTGTTGTCATTAGGAGTCATTGAATGACAGTGTTACTTTAGCAGAATAATAATATCAAAGTTTCTATGAGTCATGTGACCTACATAGTCCCATGGCTTTTGCTACTTTAGCAGTGTCGGGTATGGTTTCCATCTCATAAACTGACCCTTAGGTCCAATCAAAGGAGTTGGTTATTCCCATAATATTTGTGCCATAATTACACCAGTATACCTTGTACACTATTCACTTTTGTGGGTTCCAGGATTTATATCTGGGAGGTACTGATGATTATCTTTCTCCTTAGGTAGTGTAAAAGTAATTTTAGTATGATGAATGCAAGTCAGTAGCTGTAAAGCCTTCTAGACACAGCAGAAGTGATGCACATATGAGCTCCCAGGGACTGTGTCCCCATACACAAGGGCCTGCACATGTTTAAGCCAGATGGGGTTCCAGTGCTGAGAAGAGAAGTGGATACAAGCTTGTAGCATGAATCTTAAAGAGTCTTAATAATAAAAACAAACCCAGACCCAGGTATTCGGGGAACGCTGATTGATCAGACAAAGAGAACCAGACACAGCCACCTCACCTCGCCAACTCCTCAGCTGTTCCTGTTTCCTCAGACTGGAAGTCTCTGAGTCCTCATCCAGGATGAATCTCAGCTGAACTGCTACTCAAAAGCCTAAAAGCTTAACTAACCTAGTTCCAGGATTTCACGCCTTATATACCTTTCTGCTTTCTGCCCTCACTTCCTGGGATTAAAGGCTCACTTCTTGGGATTAAAGGCATGAGTCACCATGCCTGGCTGTTTCCAGTGTGGCTTTAAACTCACAGAGATATGGATGGATCTCTGCATCCGTAATGATAGGATTAAAGGTGTGTGTGCCACCATTTTCTGGCCTCTATATCTAGTGACTGTCCTGTTCTCTGACCCCAGATAAGTTTATTAGAGTACACAATATTTTGGGGAACACAATACCACCACATTTCACTTTTTTTGTCGAAAATTAAAAAAGGTTATAGCTAATACAAGAAAAACTATATCCAATAAGTATATACAATACATACAGTCAAAAATTACATTAATGATGTCTAGTCCATTAACATTTGACAGATTCAGATGAAAAATTCCAGTAATATATATTAACAATGTCCAGTCCAGTAACATATGATAAACTCAGACAAAAAATATTCATTACTTATCCTATATAAAACAAGTAGTTCCTTTTGAAAAATAGATTCAATAATCTCCCTTTTTAATCTTATCATATCCATATTCTCTCATTTTTCTTTTCATAACAGATTCAATAATCTACCTTTTGTCATTTTTATATCTTCCCCTTTTTCTTTTTAGAGTAGATTCAAAGATCTACCCATTTATCATATTATTTCTTTATCTTTTTTCTCAGGGTAGAGTCAATGATCTACCTCATATCTATATCCTCTTTTTTCTTTTTCTTTTTAAACAAAAACTCTGAATCTAATCTCCTTGTTCAGCTTTTTTCCAGACCATTAACAATTAACAACTTGTAACCAACCATCTTAAACAATGACAATTATCCATAAGCCATTGAACGACCAAAAAACACCCACCCCACCTCTTGGGAATATGGGCGTCATTTTCTTAAAATTACTTCCTGCTTTCTGGGGGTGAAGAGATCTCTAGGGGATCCTGAAAAGAAAATGTTTGGGTTAATTGTCAAGTCCTGGGAGAGGTAGCTGTGTCATTTGTTACCCAGTCTCTGCATAATGGGAAAATGTAGGACTTGTCTCAAGTCCTTGCTCGAGTAGTCTGTGAATCTGGATCATCTCAGCTAGCCATCTCAAAATTGTCCTGAGCAGTTTGTAGTCCAAAGCTGATCTTTCTGTGGTGTTAATCAGCTTAATGTTCATGTGGAATCATTGTTGTGGGGATCCTGTCATCCTTTTGAAGATTTCAAAGATGCTGTTAGGCGTGGTCATGGTTCTCTGCAGATTTATTTTTTTTTTTTTGTGCCTCCTCTGTGGTTTGGAGCAATCACAGTCTGATAAACATGTCTCTTGGAACCATGAACATTCTTCCCTAGAAGGGAAAATCTTCACAGCAATTTCTCCCCACCATTTGTCTTGCCAAACTTTTCCAAACTGACCTTTGCCAATGCTTTTTTAAAACACGATGGGCCTGGCAATTCTTCTCTAAACAAGCAGCAGTAAACCCTTCGTCACAGAAAGCAGCATCACCACAGTCACCAACATGATGAGAAGGAGCTGGCAACTCAGAGCAGCAGCTGCTGCCTCCATGGTCCCACTGCCGTCATTTGTGGCTCTGCCCTGGCTGAAGCTTCTCCTTAATAAGCCACCTAGGCCGGCCTCAAACTCCAGATCCTCCTGCCTTGCCTCCTTCAGCAAATCCTATGGGAATGTACCACCACAACTGCCCAAAGGTAGCTTGGGCCTGAGCTGGGGCCCACAAGGCCACAGGCAAGTGACTTTTTTGTGAATTCGCACCACAAACGTTGGGCACCAGATGTAGCATGAACCTTAAAGAATCTTATTAATAAAAACAAACCCAGACCCAGGTATTCAGGGAACGCTGATTGATCAGAGAGACAGAACCAGACACAGCCACCTCACCTCGCCAATTCCTCAGCTGATCCTGTTTCCTCAGACTGGAAGCCTCTGAGTCCTCATGCAGAATGAATCTCAGCTGAACTGCTACTCAAAAGCCTAAAATCTTAACCAACCTAGTTCCTGTTTTTCACGCCTTATGTACCTTTCTGCTTTCTACCCTCACTTCCTGGGATTAAAGGCTCATTTCTTGGGATTAAAGGCGTGAGTCACCATGCCTGGCTGTTTCCAGTGTGGCTTTAAATTCACAGAGATAAGGATGAATTTTTGCATCCCAAATGAAAGAATTAAAGGTGTGTGTGCCACCATTTTCTGGCCTCTATATCTAGTGGCTGTTCTGTTCTCCTACCCCAGATAAGTTTATTAGGGTACACAATATTTTGAGGAACACAATACCACCACACAAGCTCCCATCCCTAACACAGTTATCTCCAATTGATAACTGCTTGCAAAGAAAAAGTTAGTTTTATCCAACATATTATCACTAGTTATACAAACTACACGGAAGAATAGGCCCCATGCACAACAATAGATTTCAAATTCAAAATGAACTCATTAGTACTTTTGGATGATTTTTGTCTCAAAATTCTTTTCTGAGCTTATTTAAATCTTAAAGTTATTTTTATTATATACTGAGATTTATAATATTGTATTTTTAAGAGATCTTTGTGTATCTCTGGGAATGTATGTGTTTCTATTGCTTTTTGTTAACTCTTTCTTTCTGTTTGGTTCATCCAATACTGGTTTGTTTGTGTTACTTGTATTCTGTTTATTAGAAGTCTGTTTGTTTTCTAATGACAGATAAACAAAGTGTGTGGATTTGGGTGGGTGAGGATGTAGGAAGGATCTGGCAGGTGTTCATTGTGCTGGTGGTAAACTGTGATCAGAACATATTTTATGAAAACATTCTGTTTAATTAAAAATCAGGTAATTTTTTAAAAAAGAAGTAGCAAGTAAGCAGTTCAATGAAATCAAGAATAGAGAATAAAATTAAAGACAATAAATGTCTGGGCTATGTCCAAGAAAACAGAAGCATTGTCTGACAGAAATGACAAAAACTATCTGAAACGTGAGAACATAGTTAAATTAGGATATAGAAATCCTGAAGGGAACTCCAGATAATGAGGATGGGAATGAAGACCCCAATAACACACACAGAAATCTCTCAGGAAAGACTTACAAACAGAAAGAATAAAGCAGAAGATAGAAATCAAGGCCTGAAGATAAAATAAAAGATCTAGTCCAAATAGACAAAACATGAAAGATTAAAAACAAAAACCGTGCCGGGCGGTGGTGGCATACGCCTTTAATCCCAGCACTTGGGAGGCAGAGCCAGGCGTATCTCTGTGAGTTCGAGGCCAGCCTGGGCTACCAAGTGAGTTCCAGGACAGGCGCAAAGCTACACAGAGAAACCCTGTCTCGAAAAACCAAAAAAAAAAACCAAAAAAAAAAACAAACAAAAACCGCACACGGAGAAGGAACACATAGGAAATATGGGACACAAGGGAGAAACTAAGCATGCACATTATAGGTCTAAGTGAGGCAGAAGATTCTCAAATTAATGGCATAGACTGTGTCTTTAACAAAATCACAGGGAAAAACTTCTACAAACTAAGAATGGCATATCCATACAGATAAGAGAAGTATACAGAACACCAACTAGACAGAACCAGAAAAGACAATCCATGCCATATCATAATTAAAGTACTAAGTTACAGAACCAAGAAAATGATTTGAGACAAGCAAGAAAAGAAATTCAAGTAATGTATAAAGGAAAACCCATCAGAACAATAGCCAGTTTATTTATAGAAACTTTGTAAGTCAGAAGAGTTTGGAGCGATATATTCCAAAACCTAAAGGACTATGGTAGTGAAACTAGAGTTATACACTCAACAAAACTATGTACAATGACTGTATTTTTCATGATGAAAACAGCATAAAAATCATAACCAAGAAAACAAACATAAGGAAATACAGGAAACATTGTTTTGGGCTTGGTACAGAAATAAGACAGCATAGAGACTGTGGTAGAAGACATAATTATTAAAACACAAAATACACTGAACCCAAATGACACCAAAAATCAACAACTCAATGACCACAATTAACACACATATTTCAAAAGTAATTTTAAATATCAGTAGAATCAGTTCATCTGTCTGTCTGTCTGTCTCTCCCTCTCCGCTTCCCCTTTTCTCCCCTTCTCTTCTCTTTCAATCTGGCTCTCTCTGTCCTCGTTTCTTCCATTCTCCCCTCCCTCATTCAGTGGTTATTTTTAACCTTGTAGACAATTTTATTAGAGCTTAAAATAACAACACAGAGAAAGGAAGCTGTAGATTTTGGCAGCTTCCCTGAAGACGAGAAAGAAGGTGGGAAAGAAAAGAAGTCATGCATTTGACTTAAGCCAACATGGCGATCAGTTGCATGGTGGATGTGGTGATTTGAGTGAGAATGTTCCCACAGGTTCTGTCATTTGACACTTGGTCCAAAGTGAGTGGTGCTGTCTCCATAAGGTAGGAGGTGTGATTTTGCTGGAGGAGGTAGTCACTGGGGTTGGCAATTTCCAAGCCTTGTACAATGACCATTTTTCTGCTTGATATTCAAGCCACTGGCTTCTTCTGTTGCCACGCCTGCCACGTCCCCAGGATCATGGATACTTACATGAGCCCATGAAACACTCATCCTTCTATGAGATGCCTTTGGTCATTGTGTTTTATCAAAGCAACAGAAAAGTAACTAATACAGCACACAATCAGCCATATGAGAGGAGGGGAGTGTTAGGAGGAGAGTGAGGAAGCCCAAAGCATCAGAAAAAGCAGGCTTTAGGGTCTGGTCACCATCAGAAAGAAAGAACCAAAAAGCAAGAAAGAGAAAAAGTTGTGCCATTCTAAGTAAGGCCTCAGAAAGGTTGGTTAACTCATGGAGTCTCCTAGCAGATTGTGGAACCTGCTGCTGTGGGATTCTGACCCATGAGTTTGGCTTCAGAGGTTTCTTCAGGAAACTCTAATTCTGCAGGTCATTTCCTTGAAATTCTTGTTCAGAAGAATGGAGTCAAGATCCTTGCAAAATAGGAGCCTTTTGAAGATATTTTGGTGGGGTTGTTTGATTTGTTTGTTTCTATACATGGTTACTTCTGTGGTCATTTCAAGCCTAAAATGAGATTGTAAAGATGGCCTTGGTGAGCAGGAAGGGAGACCTCCAGGGGGATACGGCATGGTCATGAAAGCAGTTTGGCAGAGACTAAAATACATGGTGGTTGCTTTATCCTTCCTTCAAAGTCTCTATGTAGGCTCACTAAGTAAAGAGGGAGTGAAAGGACAGAGAAGGAGGTCATTTGCATTCAAGGGGAGTGCTCAGCTGCTCTCAATTTTTCTTTTTTGCTTTCTTTCTTTCTTTCTTTCTTTCTTTCTTTCTTTCTTTCTTTCTTTCTTCCTTTTTTTTTTCCTGGCAAGAGGGGTCTAACCACACTGTCACCTAAATATTCTTACACTGTGTTTCTTAGGAATTTGCTGTAGTTACAAAAGAGTTCAAGCATGAGACAAGAAAGCCATCTTATGACGACATACCTGTGAACTTCGGTGAGGTCATAGTAGGAGCCTTAGACTCACTGCTCGACTTGAAAGGGGACTATTCTCACCTCACCTGTATGTTCATCACTTTTGACTTTTACATAGTCATCATTACTACAGAGCACTAAACTCTATATAATCCCTGTCTATTCTCCCTCTTTTTCCAGGAGTTCAGGTGGAAGTGCTAGACCTATGGTCTATTTCCTTGAGTAAAAGCAGAAAACATTCAAAGACTGTGATAGCTAAGAACTTCAGATGTTCCTTCTCACAATTGTAGGTGTTTGTAGCAAGAGAGCAAAAGAGTTTCTGTCCTGCTTCCTCATTTATCTGGGTAACTGTGTTCACTGGTACTTTCCTCCAATCTTCTCACTTACACCACAGATGTAGTCAACTTCATCTTCTGGCTGGATGTTGGAGATGCTTAAGTAGCGATCAGCCCCAGAGCTGGAGCCAGAGAAGCGGTCAGGGATCCCATCCCCCTTGCTGTGGCTTCCATCACTCTTAAGTTGCTTCACATACTTAGGAGCCTTGTCTGGATGTTGCTGGTACCATTCAATGTAGTAGCTGCTGTGCTGACTACTCAAGGTGCAGGTGAGTTTGACTGAGGCTCCCAGGGAGGCAGAAGATGAGGGTGACTGAGTCAGCGTAAGCTGGGAGAAAGACCCTGAAAATAGAGAAACACATTATGTCCATGCTGAAAGAAGAGGAAAGAATGTATCTGACTGTCAGATGGTTTCCCTGAACTGGGATCAGGATGCCCATGACTCCTGACCTGTACAATGAAGGAGGAAGAAGAGGAGAAGAGTCCAGGCCATGGTGCAGACACCACTGAGCTCTGCTGAGAAGGACATGGTGCAGGTCTCTCTAATCCTTTAAGAATTCTCAGAGAACTGTCAGGGTCCTTCATGCAAATTTTTCTTAGTCATTCAAATCCCTTCTCAGGTGTCTGTGCCATCAAAAACCTGGGTGTCATTTCCTGCCTGAGGCTTCCCAAGGGATCACAGTGTCCCCACTGCTGGGCCTGTTGAGTCCTGAGCAGACACAGAGACCGATGTTTGTGTTGTCAGCTGAAAGTCTCCAGACTCTTCAGTGTCACCTACAGACCCCACTGAGCAGGGTCAGGTCTGTCATGTCTGTGTCCACGTGACTTCTTCCAGGTTGTGATCATCAAACACTTTCTGATCAATGTCAGAAGGACTTACCTTCTCTGAACATAGTATGTAGACTTGAATTCATGAGGAGCCCCTTATCTAGGGCCTTCTCCCATACAGACTGAGGGCACAGATATACCTTCCATGAGACCCTCCTCAGATATCACAAGAAAACAACCTCTCCATGGTTCCACAGAAGACATACTAGTGAATATTGGTGTCTAGAAAGATTACTGCTATATTGCACAACTCTGTTAATACATTAGAAATACAAAGTTTTAGAAAATCACAAGGCACAACAAAACAAAATTGCATACACTAGAAAGGAAAAGAAAGTTTGTCCTCAATTAAGGATTAAAGAGAATCAGTGAAGAATGACTGTGTGTGATGGCTTCCAAGGAAACTCATGGAATCCCGCCTACTACGTAGCTGACATAAAAATCATATTTAACTGACTTGGCTTTAGGGGCATGGATTTTCAGATATGAGGACAGCCATAAATTTACACAAGAGTTAATCAATCAAGATAGATATCATCGGTGAGATTGGGCAAGAGCAAGAGTGACATCAGGTGGGTTGCTGGAATCTGCTTAAGCTCACACATGTTTAAGGAAGTTGCACTACATGGATTTTCCTTGTCAAACCCTGCTCAGGGAATATGCAGAAGAGGAGGTGGAAACATTGTAAGAGCCAGAGGTAGTAGATGACTCCAATAAAAGAGCATCTTCCAAACACAACAGGACTGATGCACATGGGAACTCACAGAGACTATGACAGCATGCACAAGACCTGCACAGGTTCAAACCAAATTAAAATACCAGCTCTGAAAAAGGAAGTGGACAAAAATTCCACCGTTAGCCCTGCAATTACTGTAACAAGTAACTTCTAAAAAAGGGAAAATCAGTTTTCTCCAATGCAGTGTTACTAGAAGTATCAACCACATTCTAGGGCAGGCCTCATGTACAGGAATAGCTGGCCAACACAGAACAGATTCCATGAGTGTGTGTTTTTTGTGTGCACTTTTTGTATTGTTTTATTTTGTCTGAATGCTTTGCTTTTATCACTTGGCCTACATAGTGTGCTCTAGTGAGATGCTGTCTCAATTTTTTTTTCCAGAAAGGGTTTTTCTCTGTATCCCTGGCATTCCTGGAACTCTCTCTCTGTAGACCAGGCTGCCCTCAAACTCCCTGAGATATTCCTGACTCTGCCTTCTGAGTGCTGGCATTAAAGGAATGTGTCACAACTCTCAGGGACCAAATTATTTTTAATAAAGTAATACAACACTTTAGACACAATGTTGACACAAACAATGAAAGAGAGATAGAGGAAGAAGAAGAAGAAGAAGAAGAAGAAGAAGAAGAAGAAGAAGAAGAACCAGAACCAGAACCAGAAGAAGAGGAAGAAGGGAGGGAGTGATGGAGGGCAAGAGGGAGGCAAAGGAATGAAAGAGAATCTAGGATTCATTTGTCCCTGGTAGAATCAATGCATGGAACTGTATATTGAGGCTTCAGCATGTAGGGGCACTTGCTTCCAAGCCTGACAATGTGAGTTTATTTGGAACATCCATGGTGGAAGGAAATGTCTCAATGATTTGTGCAAGTTGTCCTTTAATCTCAAGGACACAGATACATTCAAAAACACACACACATTCACAAACACACATATTCAAACACATATGCATTAAATAATTAAATAAATATTTTTTAAAAATTTTATTCTTTTGTGTCTGTCACTACTTTCTGTCTGTTTGTGGTTTTCCTTATTTTAGGCCCTTATTATTATTGTTGACACTCAAATGCCAGTGTGACTATCTTAGGAGGGAGATCTTTATGAATGAAGGATTACAAGCCCAACTTCTGACCCACAGATGACCCACAGGGTCATGAGAACCCTGAGGTCTAACAAATATTGATCTAGCATAGGCTGCAAACTGTTGTGGTTTGAGTTGCACACTTTCCTGATTCCTCTATTTATTGTCTCCTCCTGCCATGTACAACAAAAGAACTTCCTAACATCCATTCTGTGCATTATGTACCAGGATTAACTTTCTTAAGGTTCCCACTTCAAATGATAGGCATGTCCCTTGGTTTCATGTAAATCACAAAATATTCAAAACTGAGTTTTTTATAACAAGGCAATATTTGCATGTTCACACATAAACAGTTGGAGACCTTTGAGAAAAATCTTCTCCTAGAAGCTGCACCTCTGGTCTTTGCTGACAGTATTTCTATGCTGAAAGAGGAGAGATATATTCGTATTTTGAGACTGACAGTTGCTTAACATTAGAATTTAGTTGCAGTTATAAAGGTAGAAATATGAGTCATTGTGTCAACATCCTTGGGGATAAAATATGAGTCAAGGTGAATGAAATGTGTGCAAATTCAGAAATACTTTACAAAATGATGCTTGATTTGTTGGTCCCCTGGGATGACAGTAACGACATACAACAAACTGTGTGGGCTAGAACAAGGGAACTTGTTTTCTCATAGTGATTTATGGAGGACAGACTTGCAAAATGCACATACTGAGCTAAGCACCCTATGGCACCTCTTCATTCCCTCCTCTGTCCCTCTTGTTTGGGAATCTTAGGTGGTTTTTGGTCAGCAGCATCAAAGCCCTACATGCACATCAGACTTCACATGACAATCTATCACTGCTACCTCCCTGTGTTCTCAAAGCCATCTTATGAAGACAGAGTAAGGAGTCAGCTTCAAGTTTTGTCAGTTTCTCAGAAGCACACAGTGCTCCCTGCTGAGCATAGGTAATTTTTGTAGTGTGTATTAAATATCTTCCACATGATTTCTATTCTTCTGTCATAGATTCCTTAGTTCATCTTTGAAATTGCTATTAACTTTAACTGAAGTTCTATCTGTTTAACTTTCATCGTTTTAATGACTTTTATGCATTCTGAATCCTAGTTATTTTCCCTCTTAATCAAAGTACATGTATTTTTCTTCCTTGATAGGACTCTGTGATTTTTTTCAGTGAAAAACCTTTACCATATAGTTAGACAATTTGTTTCATCTCATTATTAGATGTTTGTATTATGTTTTTCTCATTCACACTGTAACTTTTCTGTTTCAGAATTCCCTAGAGTTCATCATCAGACCTGAAATAATACCTGCCTTTTGGTTCATTCATTTTTCTCAGCTACAGTTTGTTTTGTCTCTCTTGGGGAATATGAGACACACCTTACTTTGGAAGTTATAACTGACTATAAAATGAATTTCAGTTTTTATTGTCAGTGAAAATTTATTAGACATTCATAACTTTGGAGTGTTTTTCCAAAAGCCAAGCTCCAGACATGGCCCACATTGAACTTAATGAGGAACATCATCTAATGACAAGAATTCTCAGGTGTTGATTTTACTGTGATGTTGAAAGGACCAAGCAGATGCCATAACAGGCTGCTCAGTCTTCTCTCAGAGATCAGGCCTCAATTTCAGTTTCCTGAGACTTGAGCAAGCAGTTTCTGGGAGGGCCATGAACAAAAGACATAGCTCCTTGCAGTAGCTCCCTTTCTGCACGTACTCTGACTGCTCAAAGTTAAGCCAGATGTTTACTCTCTGGGGCCCCTCACCAACTTAGAGTTATGTGCAGTACGTGCTTGGCCAGTCAGCCCCCATGGTGGCTCAAGGACAAAGCCTGAGACTTGTGCTGGACTGCCCCCAAAGTAATAAATTGTAACCACCAACCAGTAAATTCAAAGGTTACATACCGTCACCCAATTAAAAGAGAACAGAGATAAAAATAAACCAATCCGAGTTGCACCCATTCAAAACTCCCCCAACCCCCCTGAAGGGCTTGTGGATTTTGCCTTTAAAAAGTTAGCCACACAAAGAAAAAGCAAGTTCCTTCTGGCCTCACGACTAGGAGTGAGTGCTTTGGATAGAGCTTCCCTGCCCGCGGCTTATAAACAAACAGAAATAAACCATGCTAATTGCATTCTGAACCTAAGGTCTGTGGTGGTTATCTTTGGGGTCCCAATCTGGGCATAACAATGTAGTCTGATACCCTAAGAGTCTGTGTTATTCCTATTGATAACACCCTACACTGTAAGAAAAGACAGGAAAAAAGGACAGAAAGTCTTACTGGCCTGGAGGTGTGTAGCATTAATAGAGAATGTGACTAGTATATAGAGACCTGTGTTCAAGACCTAGACCTGAAAAAGAAAAAAAGTAATTTGAAAGTATTGAAATATAATGTTTAGATTTATTTTTATTTTATATTATCCCTGTGTACATGCACCCATGAATGCAAACACTCACAGAGAGAGAGACAGAGAGTGAGAGACAGAGAGAGACAGAGTGAGAGAGACAGCGAGAGTGAGAGAGAGAGAGAGAGAGAGAGAGAGAGAGAGAAATACCATAGCTGTTGGGTCTAATTGCCCTAGACTTGGAATTACAGGGACTTATGAGGCAAACTACATGGGTGCTTGGAATGAACATGAACCTTCTGTAAGAGCAATATGTGCTCTAAATCACTGAACTGTCTCTCTAGCCACCCAAAATAGTATAAAATTATCCTGTTTTCTTGAAACAATATTACTTATAAAGATCTTGAGACATCTTTATAAGTAATATTGGTCTGTGTAAACATAGTCTGTCAGTGTAGAGATTAATCTTCCCTTCCTGCTGAAGTAAATTTTCATAATGTTGACACTACTTTAATTTGTTAGTCAGTTACTTTGGGCATGTGTTTTATTAAGCTATTCTTTCTTATTTTGGTCTAAAATAGTCCACTTGAGAAAGTTACAGATCACCACATTTTATTAAGCCAATTAAGAGTATAATGAGTCCTCTAACTGACCAAGAAAAGGCTCCTGCCTGGGAAAGACAAAGGACAGGACACTCGGGTTTTAATGACAAAAGGCTGCAATCACATCACACCTGTTGCAGGCTTGAAGGTCTTTACAATGTAACCTTTGATCTTGTAAAACATAAAAAAAAAGGCCACTCCTGTACTGGAACCAAACTGTTTTTACATATCAGGACCCTTTCTCAGTAGGGAATGAAGGACCCTTTGTGTTGTGAAACACTTTCTCAAACAAAGAGAGAACCCCTTTTACAGGCAAATGGAGCTCCTAGGTGGAGGGCAACCTGACATTCCTGAAGCTATTTCAGTTCCAGTAAAAACAAAGATATTTCAGTGTAGCTATATTGGTAACTTGTATATTTTAATTGATAGTATCTCAATGAAATGATCATTCTCAGAAAAGTAAACTTTCTAATAGGTAGACCTGGATTTTTGAAGACTATTTAGAAGGAGAAGCTCTGACTACGTCTTACTTGAAACCCTCTCTACTCTTCCTATGCTATCTCTGGAAGGAGAATTATAAAGATCCCAATGCATTCCATTCCTGTGATACCATCATGAGGGACAGTCATGACCTGCTTCCATTTAAACATTATATATCAAAAGCTAAGAAACACAACTACAATAATATTTTTAATGCAACATTTAATGCAATGAAAGACTAAAGAGCCAAATCTGAGCTATGTAGATTGAAGAGTACAGACACAGCATGCCTAATCATCTACCAGACAGCATCTTGATGCCAGAGCTGTCCAGTGGTCTGTAAGGTCATTGTATCTTACTTTGCACAATTTGTAGTGACTTTCATCTTCAAAGTCTATTTCTTCATCTCATTTTAATGATCATTGATAATTTTTAGTAGAATGCATTAACAGTACAAAGTAATGTGTTTTACTATAACATGTTCCCCTGTGTATAAAGATATTTATTCATCCCCATATCTTCTGCTCTTATACTCTGCTTTTGTACTTCCTCACTTTCACACTGCTAAAAGTTTGCCTGCTACATTCATGAGTATTTTTACCTGTTATGTTTCACACATAAGAAAAAATACGGTAGACTTGACTTGCCTTATTTCCCTTCGCATCATGATTCCATTGTGTTAAATATTGTGTCTCACTTAGCCTCATTTCTGTCATGTGGATCTAGGTCTTGAAGCCCTGGAGAGGTGAAAGTGAAAATAGGGATGTGGGAGATACATGGATGCATGGTTACACCTGTGTTTTATTAATTTTTTCTCTGTGGTCTGTACTTTGCACTGTTTAGTCAAACAGAGCCAGAGAATGGGTGTGAAATATCATTAATTTGCAGTTTTCTTTGTATTTGTCCTATGTGTTCATGCACAGACATATGTGTACAAGTTTGCACATGTTGAGGGCAGAGATCGATGTATCCTATTTGTCTCCATTCTCTCTAACATAGGGTATTTCCCTAACTTTGAGCTCACTGATTTAACTAGATTGACAGGCCAACAGTCCTAGGAACTGTTTCTTCCATGATCAGTGGGATTATAGACCAGCTTTGCAGCTGAGCAAAGCTTTATTTTTATTTCAGATCACAGCTTATTTTAGAGATAGTTGAATTTAATACTAACATAGAACTATAAAAAAGTTGAAATGCATTTGAAAATTACAATTACTTGTGTGGTTATGTAGGGGATAGCATATGTGTGTGAACACATGGACAAGAACATGCCATCAAACCGTGGTCATCAGGCTTGGAAGCAGGGCACCTTTACTCTGTGAGCCACTGTGTCAGCCTTAGAAAGGCATTTTCTAAAGTTTTCACATACATCACTGTTTAAAAATATTCAGTATGTG